TATAAAATGTATGAGTTCAGACACGTGAGATAAGAATTCTCCCTGAACTATCGGAAGCAACAGCCACATGAGCAAATTGATCCTGGTGCACTGCCACTGTAAGGGAACAAGATGTTAGGACCTCTAGGGTTGAAAGTGATTGTAGTGATGAGGAAGCCAAGGTTTGAATAGAAGAGTGGAGACATGGATGAGTGTATCCCACCCAAATAGAAATAAATGTGAATTATGGGTTGCTGGGGACACACAGCTCTCACCTGGTACCCGTAACTACTGAGATAAAGCTTTAATCCTGAATCATGTCTCTAGACCAGCATGGACAAATGCTCTCAGGGGTAAGACTGAACACTCAGGTTCATTTTTTAAAATCTGGGAGCCGGGCATGGTGTTGCACACTTATAATCCCAGCACTCGGGAGGCTGAGGCAGGAGGATTGCCCTGAGTTTGAGGTCAGGCTGGGCTACATAGTGATTTTGAGGCCAGCCTGAACTGCATAATGAGACCCTATCTCAAAAAAAAAAAAATCTGGGAATGTTGATATAGAGGGGAATAGATGTAACTCCCAAGCCTGCTATATACCTCTGAAATCGAAGAATGAATTTTAGGAACAATAGAGGTTAAGAGTAGCTTCTGTCTAAGAGAGACAGAAGGGGGACCAGAAAGTGGGTTGCCCACCCGCTCTGCTTCTCAAAGATGTTTTATGGGACAAAGCCACGAGGTGAGATGGGTACAAAGTGGGACAAAACTATCATCAACCAGTAAGATTACAAGTACAGTTGCTTAGGTAATATTGATCCAATGGGAAATCATGAGGTGGACATGAGGCGGAACAAAACTATAATCAACCAATAAGATTGCAATAAGTATAGTTGCTTAGGTAGTAGTGATTAAATGGGGGTCAAATGGGGAAGCAAGTCACATACCAAGTGTACAAGGAACCAAGGAATGAATAAGGATTTCCAGTAAAGGATGAGTCAAGGATCTTTCCTGGGAGGGATGGGTTATGGTCTTGTCCCCCCTCCTTCAGGTGACTGATGCCTATTTAGAGTATCAATCACTGCTATTTATCCCTAGGGGAAGTACATGGGTGTAGTAGTTTCTCTTTTTTATAGTGCTAACCAGTGAATGTGCCTCAATTGTTTTTTATGTGGAGGGCCCAGTTTTGTCTAACTGCCTTATAATAATTTCTATCTGCAATAATGTCACTGTCATCAGTTAATTTAAGATAGAATTGAGGGTAATCAGTGTTCCAGAACAGATTTCCATTATCCTCACTCGAAGAAGGAGCATAGAGCTGAGGAGCTGGTTTTATAGAAGACTTCTCCAGATGACGTGGGTATGAGTTCAGCACTGTTTCCTCAACAAGGCTTCAGGTGGTTGTGTGGAAATCCCACTGTTGTTGTCATTTCTATGGCTTCTGGACATCGTTCTGGGCCTGAACCCTTCCTGGCATTGCCACCACCTTAGGCCTGGCCTTGCAGAGCCTTATTTTTACCAGGCTTCCACAGCTTCCCAAGGCAATATGTAACCAAGGGCTCTTGAAAGTGGTATGTTTTCCCTTTTCCTTATCTCAGTTCTACCAGGCCTTTGAGGTTCTCTGAAGGTTCACACACTTTATAAAGCTCCACAACTCTGTCACCTTCATACTTCCTCTCTTCTTCTTCTTTGGAACTTACTGGTTCTGCTACCATTAGCATTTTATATTTGGTTTATAACCTTCTCCCATGTGTGTCTAAGTTAATTGTCACAGATTCAGAAAAAGGTGATGCCATACTTATAAATCGTTGACTTTTCCACTTTTCTAGACAAATTACAGCCCAATCTTATTTTCAAGTCATAAAAGGGTATGATGTGTAAGAAACATGTAAATGAGTTCTCACGTTAGAGCACCTAGACGGAGTATTTGGTTCAGTCTCCTTGTTTTACAAAGAAGGAAATCGAGGCCCCAAAATAGTGAAGGGCTTTTTCTAGTTGTGTTTTAATGACATAACCTGGACTAGACTTTCCAGGTGTCCTGCTTCCTTAGTCATTCTCTTTTCTTTTAGTCTATTCCATATTCCATAGGTATTTTGACCCTCAATTAAGCTAAATTGTTGAAAAGGAAGAACCAAAAATGGGCTTTGGTACCAAAGATTAAAGCAACTAAAGTTCTACTATCCAAACTTGAGTAAATGTTCCCAAACCTGCCCCTCTTTTAGTATTCTCCAGCTTAGCTTTGGCAGCACTATTTATCTAGCAGCATGAGAAACACACACACACACACACACACACACACACACACACACAGACTCATCCTTATCCTGACTCTGTATCTTCTGTATCTTACACAGGTAGTCTTTCAAGAGATCTTGCCAAAATACATATAGAGTCGAACCACTTGTCCTTATCACTATCATCCTGTGCTGTCAGGAGAAATTCTACATAATTTTTGGGAAAAATCATTTCACAATTAAGTTATAATTAGGCCTAGTTCTCCTGCTTACAGGCTGGCTATGGCATGATGAGATACAACTCCATTTTTGCCTCTGGTCACAGCTAAAACCTCAATGGTCCAGGGCAGGATTATACCAGCTGAAGACATCCTGGGGAAGGATAAATTCCTAATCAACGTAAGTTCCTCATCAAACTAGGATCTTCATCTGCATAAATTCCTCATTGTTCTAAGATTATCACTGCCCTCCTCTGAGCCATCTGTTACTCCCCATGAACCAAATAAAGGTGTGGCCAGCTCAGGGTACCGTGTCTTTGCTGGCCAGAGCAGCATTGATCAGGCCCAAAACTCAGCTTCTTCTCTAAGTGTCATTTCTGTCTTTATTCATTAATTTGCCTTGTGCTGTTGCTGCTCACAGGAGACCAGGACTCACTGCAGAAGTTCTAATAATGTCCCCTTTCCCTGTTCCCTATACTGTGTGTGAAGATCCAGGAGGAAATAGAAGCCTCACTGAAACTAGTTAATTTGAGCTAGACATGGTGCCACACACCTGTAATCCCAGCACTCGGGAGGCTGAGGCAGGAGGATTACTATGAGTTTGAGGCCAGCCCAGGCTCCATAGTAAGTTCAAGACCAGGATGGACTACATAGTGAGGCCCTGTTTCACCCCCCCACCATCACCAAAAAAAAGAAAAAAAAAACCTTAGGTAATTTGAGGAAAGCGTGTTAAAGGATCATTCATTTACTTAGTCATATTTATTTTTATTTTAAAAATTATTGTATAAATTTCAGATGTACAATAAGATCTTTTGATATACATATGGATAGTGAAATGGTTACTGTAATCAAGCAGATTAACATGTCTCTTATCTCACAATAGTGAACCTTCGTGTGGGTGTGTGTAGCAAGAGCACCAAAATCATACTCTGAGCAAACTCCTGAATACTCTACAGTATTATTGACTACAGTCCTGTTGTACATTAGATCTCTAAAATTATTATCCTACGTATCCGCAATTTTGTAGCCAAAGGGATTATTTAAGCGTGTGAATAGAATTTAGGAAACTTAATCAAGGGCAGTATATAATATCTCAGAGTTGGCAACAGGAGAGAGTTTATCATTGTTAGGTATTCCAAAGCCCCCACAGAACAAGCTCCCTCCCCCTTCTCCCTGTCCTCCTCCCTGAAGGCGAACAGGGACTTTCTACATAACTAAGGCTTGACCCCTCCTAGTTAATGACCTCCTACCCAGTTAGGGGCTTTTCTGCCCCACCGATTTCGTGACCCGGAGCAGCGGTAGGGTTGGTGACCCAAAAGCCCTTTCCTGTGGGCTGGGAGCAGCCGGAGGGAGGGATGGTGGCCGGGAAACCCCTTCCTCTGGACCAGGAGCAGTGGGATGGTGGCTCAGAAGCCCCTCCCTCTGGGCCAGGAACAGTGGGACTCAGTACCTTGGTCTGGTGGTCTGGTGTCCTCTGCGCCTTGGTAATGTGGAATCAGGTGGCTGCCTGTCTGCAGTGGGGTGATTCGGTGTCTTCTGCGTGACTCAGGACCTCGGTAGGACGTGCACAGACCTGCCTGTCTGCAGCGGGCTGATTCGGCGTGTGTTCCGCGCTACTGGGGACCTCGGCAGGGTGTGGGCAGACCTGCCTGTCTGCCCCGGTTTAGTGACCAAATGTTCCCTTAAGATAGGGACCTCCTGGAGCTTGTCACTCCATCCCACGTCCCACCAAATGCCCCTCGCAAGACAGAGACTTCCTGGAGCTTGTCACTTCATCCCACCAGATACTCCTATGAGATAGGAACTTCCTGAAGCCTGTTTTCTCCATCCCCCAACCAGAATTTGTTGCTATATGCCCTAACCGCCATCCCCTATCAAAGGACTAGTGCTCTCCCACATGCAAAGACCCCATATAAGCCTCCAGCTCAGCTCATGCGATGGCTGGTCTCCATTTTGTGAGTCAGTTCTGAGAGGCTGCAGACCGCTGCCCCAATAAAGGTGGCTTGAACATATGTTTGTCCCTTCCTTTCGGCGACCCTTTCAATCATCATAGGTAGGAAGGGGCAATTGGTCAAGGATGCCGTAGTATTCGGAGAAGACAGAAAAGTAGAGAGGGTTGTTTGAGAGAAACTATGGTTTTTGATAGAGTAAAGTGACCGACCACTATAATGCTGCAGGGAGAAAGCCAAGGAAATTAATTTGCTCCTCACTCTCCTGCACCTCAGCTTTTGCTAATGTTCTCCATGGCCAAACCACCCAGCTTCCCAGAGCAAAGAGCACAAGGTGGAGAAAGGTGTCAAGAATTTTGTACTTTGTATTTTGTTTCCTCTTCCTGGAATAGTCTCTTCCCAGAAACTCCCATAGTTTCCTCCTGCATTGTTCTTATATTTCTAATAAAATGTCACCTCCTCAGCAAGACATTTCTTTACTACGCATCATTCTCTGTTTTAATAATGTGCTTTATTTTTATTCATAGTATTGATTCTCTTACATACTTATTTTAAAATTTTAAATTAATTTCTCTATTGAAAAGAACAGGTATTTTTCTAGTTTGTTTATTGCTGCTAACTCAGAATATAGAATGCTCATTGAAGATTTGTTGGTAAAAGGATGAAGGAATTAATGAATTCTCAGGAATATTGGAAAGACTAACATCTTCCTCAATGTATAGAACCAGTGCACACTAGCTTTTGAGTTATACATTAAAAAAAACAAAAATAGCTTTTATTTTATTATAGTCTTTATTGTATCACAATACAGTTGTAAGCCACAAGGCACTAAAGTAATTAGTTTCACTCAGTGAATAAAATATTTCTATATATTTCTATATTTTACTAGTTTCAAGTGATAAGATCACATTTCTACTTATTTCCTAATACTGTAATGATTGCCAAATATAAACAACTCTACCACAGACGTAGATCCAGTTTGTGTCCTGAGAAATAGATCTTTTCTAAAATGGTCATTATAATGAACTTACCTAACCATCAAGTTTTAGGATATGTAATATTTAGTGTTTACATGCCATTTTATTTGTAAGTCTGCACTCTAATTAACGACTTTCATTTTGGCAGCAGAAAAATACTTTGAAAACTGCCCCTCTAAGCTAATAAAAGTGAAGCTGGAAATTTAAGTCATTCGAGTCAGTTTCCTTCTAGGGTCTATAGGCATGTGAGCCACTTCTTCTACTCCTTATTTTCTTCCATGATCTGGACAGTCTGACAATGCTTCTTTAAAGCTAAAAAAAAAAAAAAGCTAGCTTTGTAGTCACACAGAATCCTTTTAAGCATTTTTATGATATTTAATATGCCCCAAGGAGAGGTGAATCTTTAATAGCAACAATTTCTATTCCTTTTTTTTTTTAGCTGAGCTCATTCAATAAGAATGATCCTTCCTCAAACAGAACAGGAATCAACAACTTTAGATATTGACTCTATTTTCTGTTACAGTAAAGTTATTCTTCATTAAAAATAAAAACAAAGGGGGCCGGGGATTTAGCTCAGTGGTTCTGCTGCCTGCCTTGCAAGCACAAGGACCCGAGTTCAATTCCTGGTACCAAAAATAAATAAATAAATAAAAATAAAAACGAAGATTAAAAACTCACATTTGACATCCAGATAACTAAGTTCTCACCAAGCCAAATTAGTTATTAGGCTTTTATCAAATGTAATTTATGAGCCAGCATGCTGTTTGAAAAGTGCTAAATATTTGACTACATTTAATGGTTTTATTTATATGCTCACCATTGTTGTACTACTTATGTTTCTTCTGCTAAAGCACCTGCAAAGCTCAGCATCACTTTTAAGTTGCATGAGGCCTTGTGTACATCCAATATACATGATGTTTTTATTTTCTGTTCAAGATGACATCCAGTAATCTGATAGTTCTGTTCACCATAGCATCTTGAGCATTAAAAATATGCCTAAATCAATTGATGAGAAAAAAATAATTATCCTAAATTGAAATAATTGTTGGCAAAAACTTCTATAATTTTTATATATTGTGTTCTTATTTTAACACCATGAAGAAGAATAACAAATACATGTGTACTACTTAGCATGGCAAACTTGGGTGGAATTTTTCTAGGTTCTCGCAACTAATCTGGAACACCATAGGTGTTTTTACAAGATCAGATGATAGGAATGTTTGCCCTGTTAAGCTGGGTTGTCAACTTGATTGGCTTGGGAGCCACCCAGGGGATTAATAAAGCTTACTTCTGGATGTGTCTGCATGGTTAAGGAGGTGTGACCTAGGGTTTATGTCTGGTCCCTCATCCCTTCCTCTTTGGTGCTGTTCTGCACTCTGATTCCAAACCACCATGAACTAAACATCTTTGCTCCACTGCACTTCTGCCATGATGTTCCTGCTTGTGGAGCGTGACAACCATGTACTGAATGCCATGGCACCATGAGCCAAGTTAAGCCTCTCCTCCTGTAAGTTGTGGATGTCAGATTTGTTTTTTGTTTTGGTTTGGTTTTTGGTTTTGGTTTTTGAGACAGGGTCCCACTGTGTAATTCAGGCTGGTCTTGAACTCACTTTGTGGCCCAGGCTGGCATCAAACTCATAGTAATTCTCCTGCCTCAGCCTTCCAAGTGCTGGGATTACAGGCATGCACCACCGCACCTGGCTGGATTTCAGTTACTTTGTCCCAGCAACAGGAAAAATGACTAATATACCTCTGTTTATAATAATCATTGCTTTGCTTTTTTTTAATGACAAAACTTAGTGGTTTTAAAAAAAAGAAACATTTTATTGTATTTCATGATTTCATTGGTCAAGTATTTAGACATGGTTTGACTTCTTCTACTCCAAATGACATTGACTGAAGTTTCTTAGTGGTGTTCAGTGGTAGATGAGTAATCTGAAGGGTTCAACATGGCTTCACTTACATGTCTGGTATCCCAGGGGGAATGGCTAGAAGGCTTGGTTTAGAACTGTTGACTGGAGCACCCTTACGTGACTTCCAGAGCGGGTGAGATAAAGGTAGTCTGACTTCTTATGTGACAAGTTGTTTCTCCAAGAGAGTATTTCCTAAGAGGACCAGGCCAAAGCTGTAATGCTTTTTATGATCATGCTTTGGAAGCCCCAGAACATCAACCAAGTCACTAAAGCCAGTCCAGATTCAAGAGAAGATTCTGCCCTCTAGTTCTTGATGGAGCATGGCATACTTGCTCAAGGAGGGAAGAAACTGATGGTGGCATCAACAATCATGAGGGCTAGGGACTGACGCCAAGCAGTTTGTCACCAACTGATTACTTTTCAAAAGAGAAATTTTCTTTAAAATGCTGCAATTTGTAACAGCCTTAATCTTCAGTTTTTCCCATCTAGGTCTGAAATATTTCCCAGTAATTTTTCTTAATTGCTGTACTAAATGAAGGCATGTAAGACTTATGAGACCTGGATTTTGCTTGGTGCTATTTTTCATTTAAGTAGTAGTTTTGGTCATCTGTTCAATAAAATTTTGTGGGATATTTTAGGTTAATGACACACATCAGAAAACAGTGCATTGCACATCAAAAGCTAATGGCCAACTTTGATGTCTTGAACCAGAAAGTTATGTAAGTCACTACTGGGGCTTTATTTACCAATCTGTGAAGGTAATTAAAGATGATTCTTAACTCAGGGATTGGTCAATAATAACAGGAACAAAATAGTAAATAGATATTATTATAGATCCTGCAGATATCAAAAAAATAATGTAAGATGCTGTACCTGCCAGGGAAGCGCAAGGTCCTGAGTTCAGTTCCTGGTACTGGAAAAAAAAGTAAAAATATTATTAACAACTGTAGGTCAATAAAACTGACAAGTTAAATGTAACATTTAAAAAATATGACTTATCAAAAACTAATGCAAGATCAAAAAGAAAGTCTGAATAGACTCTCCTTTCTATAAAAGAAATAGAATTTGTCTTTAAAAACTTCACTATAAAGAAATCTCTAAGCCTAAGTGAAATCTACCAAAAAGTTTTTTAAAAATGAGATCATCCATGGTCCAAATTACCAGTAATTTGCTAAAGGAGAACAGTGCAATAAAATGGGTTTAAAACAAAAGAGGATGATAGCCGGGTGTGGTGGTGCATACTTGTAATAAAAGCATTAGAGAGGTTAAAGCAGGAGGATTGCTGTGAGTTTGAGGCCAGCCTGAACTACATAGTGAGACTGTCTGAAAAAAACAAAACAAAGGATTATAAAAATAGGTGTGAAACAAATTCTCTATTGAGCCTATTTATTTATTTATTTATTTATTTATTTATTTATTTATTTTTGAGAGAAGGTCTTGGTATGTAGCTCAGGCTGGCCTTGAACTTACCATGTAGTCCAGGATGGCCTCAAACTCATGGAAATCCTCCTGCCTCAGCCCCCTGAGTGTTGGGTTTACAGACATGTGGCACCATGCCTTGCTAGAGTCTCTTTAAATCCTACTTGTGAAATGCAGTAAAACAAGCTTAGGAAGACAATCAAATGAATAAACTGGAGAAGTGACTCAGGAAAAACAATTCCAAATTATAGTTAGTTATAGTTTTGTCTTATTTAGTGAAATATAGATTGCTATAGTTCATGTGGAGCTTGAGGCTACATTTAAAAAGAAAAGACACACTGTTAGGAATGACAAAACTGTTAAATTTCTCCATAAAATGAATTGATGTAAGATTTAGGAAGGCCAGAAAATGAAGTATAACATTATTCATGTTAAGATTTAGCATTAAGAAGATCTATACTGTGTTAAAGTTTAGTGAAAGTGTCTACATAGATGAGTATAGTTCCCAGAACGACCATAAATAGCAAATACGTGCCACTCTAAGAAAGTTAGCATGGCAGTAAGATAGAATGGCAGTTTCTCTATATGCCCCAAATTACATTTAATTTGTTTTCAGTTCAATTGTGAAAATCCTAACAAATATTTACTATTACTTTTAGGAATAATGCATCTGTGAAGATATAAAGCAAATTCAGGTAGAGTTGAGATTTCACAAAATAAAATCTAAATCAAGAGCTAAATCATTCAAGATGAGCATAACTGTCCAGAAAAATATCTGTTTAAAAAAATATCATCAGGAACAAGACAAGGGTAACCATTCACCACTCCTGTTTAACACAGTACTCAAAACTTCATGCAAGAGAAAGAAATAAAAGGGATATATATATATGGAAGAGGTCAAACTATCCTTATTTGCAGATGACATGATCCTTTACATTGGAGATCAAAAAAATCCACCGAAAGACTCTTAGAACTAATCAGTTCAGCAAAGTAGCAAGATACAAAAATCAATACACAGTGAGCTGCGGATTTAGCTCAGTGGTTCCATGGTCTGCCTCAAAAGCGCAAGGTCCCAAGTTTGATCCCTGGTGCCAAAAACAAACAAACAAACAAACAAACAACAAAGCCAATACACAAAAACCAATAGCTTTCTTTCTTTTTTTAAAATAAAAGCAGATGATTTATTGGAAGGTGGAGAAAGGGGGAAGCAAGAGATGACAGACAGCTACTCCAGGTGAGTACGTAGTATTTGAAAGTGAAATACTTGAATAGCTTTCTTCTATACAAACAATGAACCACTGAGAAAGAAATCAGGAAAACAATACCATCTACAATAGTTTCAAAAAGTTAAATAGGAATTAATCTAACAAAGAAAGTGAAGGACTTTTATAATGAAAACTAATGCTATGAAAAAAATTGCAGAAGACATCAGAAAAATGGAAAGGCATCCCATTCTTAGATAAACTGAACTAATATAGGCAAAAGACCATGTTACCAAAAGTGATATAGAGGTTATTTGCAATCCCAGTCAAAATACCAAAAGCATTCCTCAAAGAGCTAGGAAAAAACAGTCCTCAAATTTATATGGGACCAGATGAGACCCAGAAGAGGGAAAGCAATCCTGGGCTATAAGGAGCAAAGCAGGAGGCATCCCAAACCCAGATCTCAAGTTATCTTACAAAGCTACAGTGATTAAAACAGCATGGAGGGGCCAGAGATTTAGCTCAGTGGTGCTGCTGCCTGCCTTGCAAGCGCAAGGTCCTGAGTTCGATCCCCAGTACAAAAAACAAACAAACAAACCAACCAACCAAAAAACCAGCATGGTATTGGCACAAAAGCAGACATTTTAATAAAGACAGAACTGAGGATACAGGAACAACCCCAGGATACTTCAGCAAATCTGAGTTTTGACAAAGAAGCCAAAAACATACAGTGGAAAAAAGAAAATAGAGCCTCCTTAACAGGTAGTGCTGCGAAAACTGGCTATCCACTTGCAGAAGAATGAATACAGACCCATATCTCTCAGTCTGTAGTAAAATCAAATAAAAATGGGTCAAAGACCTAGATTTAAAAACAGAAATACTGAATCCACAAAATAGGTAAAATTTTGAAGACATAGGCATAGTGAAGGACTTTCTGAACAGAATCCCAACTGCTCAAGAAATAGCGCCAACAATCAACAAATGGGATTATTTCACATTAAAAACCTATACAGCAAAGGAAACAGCCAATAAATGTTGCCACTTACTTCTCTAACAGAGGATTAATATTTAGAATATATAAAGAACTCAAAAACAATTAGATCCCTAAAATAGAAAACTTAATATAAAATGGGAAATCAATGAATAGATGTCTCTGATAAGAAGTACAAGTGGCTAATCAATACATAGAAAAATGTTCAGCATCTTTGGTCATCAGAAAAATGCAGATCAAAACAACACTGAGATTCCATCTTATTCCAGAAAGAATGGCTATTTATCAAGAACTCAAAAAGCAACAAATGCTGGCAAAGTTGTGGGAGAAAAGGACCCTTTCTACATTGTTGGTGGGAATGTAAGCTAGTACAACCATTATGAAAATCAGTAAGGAGATTCCTCAAAAAATGAAAAATAGAAATTCCATTTGACCCAGCTATATCTCTTTTGGGTATCTTTCCCAAAGAGTTAAAGACTTCATGTTACAGGAACACATGCATACTCATGTACATAGCAGCACAATTTATAATAGATAAATTTTTGAAAGTGGTGTACATACCTATCGAGATAAATTAATAAAGAAAATTATATATATGCCACTTAGCCATAAAGAAAGATACATTTGAGTCATTTGTAGGAAAATGGATGCACCTTGAATCCATAATACTAAGTACAATAAATCAGGCACCAAAGATTAAATATTGCATGGTTTCTCATATATGAGAAGCCCAAAGTATAAATAATTGAAAGAGCAAAATAAAAGAAAGATGATAGGAAAAGGGGAGAAACACTGTGTGGAGATGGGAAGGGGATCTGGGGATAGGGAAAATGGGAGTGAGGGAGAAAGAGAAAGTAAAAAGGATCAAGATGTGATATGTATATGTACCACTATCTCACGATGAATATATCCATTCTATATCACAAACATTTTTAAAAATTCAATTTAGAATTGAGATAGAGGCAACATAAGGAAGATTTAAGAACAGTCAGTAAATCACCTTTAGTACAGTACTGCTGAGTTTTTAGATTTTTGAGTTCCATTTTTTAAAATCATTCTATATATTGCAATTGAAAACAGGAGTCCTGCAGTAAATATTTTGTGACTTACTGAATAGGACCTCAAATTAAAAGGAGTAATATGGATATTTTAAACTATGGTTACATGTCCTATGCCCAATGCCTTTAAGGTTTTTTTAAAATTATTTTTTTAAGGTAGGGTCTCGCTTTGTAGTTCAGGCTGGTCCTGAACTATGTAGCCCAGGCTGGCCTTGAACTTGAGGTGATCCTTCTGCCTCAGCTGGGATTACAGGTGTGTGCCACCATGCCCGCCTAAGTCTTTCTTTTTCTAATGTTTTCACCTCCTTTCATGTCCTAATTTTTATAGCCTCTTCTCTACTTGCTGTTAGGTAAAGTTGAGATACACATTAGGACAGGAGCCAGTCCAGAGTTAGCAGCAGGCTTTGAGACTGAGTATGAAGTTACTGTTCTTAGAGCTATTTACGTAGCTCTAAGCATAATGTAATTCATTTATCACCATTCATCAATCAAGTATGGCCACAAGCGATAGCATATTATTCTGGTGTTCTACTACAAATAATAGAGGGCTTGCTAGGTGCTACAGATGAATAAATTCTGGCCTCCACCTCTTTGGAACTTGTACCACATTCACAGAAATAGATTCATACAGCAGCAATTACAACAAATTTAGTAATAATGATATCAACAGAATGTGTGAAGAGAGACATGAACAGCCAACTGGTGTGTGTGTAAGAGGCTGGGAATTAAGTCTGTAAGAAATGACAGCCTGTAAGAACTGGTTCTTCACTGGTGCACCGGGGATCCTCACCCATACCACTGCCTCTGCCTCTATAGCTTTCTGGTTTCAGTTTTGGCCTAGATTAACAAAGGAGGGGGACATGAGGAGAAATGGAGAGAGAGAAAGGTATCGTGGGACTATTTTATCTAAGTTTGAAAACAATTTTACTCATGCCATGAATTATTTTTAAAACCAGGAATGCTCTATTCTTTAGTAGTTGTGTCTCTTTACTCAGTATTTTACTATTGCTAAGGAATGAGCAGTTTACCTTAGTATGACTTGGGCTGACTTTGTTGTCTTTCATTTCATTAATAGCTTTTGAGTCAGGTCTCACTAAGATGCTAAGTTGCCCAGGCTGGGTTCCAACTTGGAATCCTTCAAATCCTTCAAGGCAACTTAGGGAGACCTTGTCTTAAAATTATTTAAAAAAAAAAAAAAAAAAAAAAAAAAGGAGGAGCTGGGGATGTAGCTCAGTGTGAAGGCCCTGGCTTCAGTTCCTAGTACCAGTGAGAAAAAAATGTTCACAGTACTCTTCAGAAAATCTTTTCTATGGTGATTCCAGGTAATGTGCTTCTGCACACTCCCAAAGGTAATGACTAGATTGTGGTAGAAACTAGATTACATTACCAAAGCAAGGCAGATTCTTCAATCATCTGAGTCCCACACCTCTCCTCCTCCTATATCATACAACGCTGTTTTCTCTTTGTATTTTATTATTTCCCAAATTAAGGAAACTAAAAAGATGCGCTGAAGGATGTTTCAGATCCCTAAATAGGCACTAAATTTTAACAAGGCAAAACAGGTATCTATTTAGCATATTACCTAATGTTCCAATGAAGAATTATTTAATGTCTTTCTGGGGATTGTTTGAATATTCTGAATGGTGTCTTTCACCTGTCATTTTTCACTCCCCCCAAAACTTCTCATAGTTTAATATCACTGGATGAATTGATTACTTCCTTTTTCATCCATGGTTCAGGTACTTTCTAGTCATGCCAGTGAATTCATTTTCATCTAGATCAACCAAGGTTACAAGCTCAATATAATTAACCTCATTTCACATTTATGATATTCTAGTCCACTATACATATTTAAACACCACATATTTTTATTAATGGAAAGTTTGAACCATGCATTACAAAAACTATAGTTTAGTGTCTTTCTGAAATTGGATCCTGCTTCATTGCTTCTCATTTTGAATAATATTTCAGTAAGAAAGAAGAATTAAAGATAGATATTATTCTCCAATGATCCAAGAGAACACTTATTCAAACCTTGAATATATTTTCTGACATTCTGTATAGTAATTTGAACATTAAAATTTCCCAGAAAATTATGAACCAGTATTTGAAGACTTGTAAGAATTTTGTGTAGAATTTATTCAATCTGCTTTCAATATAGGCCAAATTTTCTTTTAGTCCTAGTTCTATTCCTAATTAAAATCACATAGCTGAATTGGCATTTGTGTATTCAAATCTGAATAGCAACTTTTCCATTTCTATATTTCAGGACTTTAGAGAATAAAATATGCAAAGAGCTTATGCTTCTTTGAAGAATAGCACAAGATAAAATGTAAAGTACTACTACCTTGAGCTGTGGTATTTAAAATTTGAGGGGGTCATTTATCTCTTTCCAAATCTCATAACATTTATGAGCTCTTTCAGAAAAATGTCTATACATACAAATTTTTTATTAAAATTGACCCTCTCAGAATCCTCTCATGGTGTAGATCCTCAATTTATAAAACTCTGATCTGGATGGAATGCTATTTTACTGTTACTAGACACTGGTTATAACATGTCAGGACAGATTTAAGTAGCATTATTTATACTATAATTTAAATTTTAATAAAGTCTGCCTGAAAAATGGTGCAATAATATACTCGGGAAGCTGCAAATTGGTTAATTTATATGCTCACTGTCTTAAAGTGTAGCTAGAGTTAGATGCAGCAAAATAGTTTCTGAACTATGGTTTAGTAGATGCTACTGTTCACAAATATTTATAGAACTCTGACTTTGTAGTAGGAATTGCACTAAGCAATGAAGGTAAAAAAAACAACTCATAAAAAACTTTCACTTTGAAGTCTGAAAAGAGACCTGGTATTCTAAGAAGGATATTTTGAAGGCGAAATGAAAGCTTTCTAGATACAGAATAAATGTCAGACCTTAAGGATAAAAATGAGCCCACAGCTCTTACAGTTGCTTTTAAAAGTTAGAGTTCTGCAAACTTAGTGTGTCCTTTAGCTCTGTCTCCTTGTGACAAAATAGTTGAGAAAAACAATTTAAAAAGAGGAAAGATTTATTTTAGGTCAGGGTTTAAGAGGTCTCAGTCCATGGTCATGCGGTCCCACCATTCTGGGCCTGTGGTGAGGCCGAACACCATGGTGAGGAGCAAGTGGCAAAGCAAAGCTGCTTACACTGTGGTGGCCGAAAGTAAAAGAGAATGGGGGTCGGGGGTCAGGGACCGGGGCCTTCAGGGGCACACCCTAGACGACCTAATTTCCTTCCACTAGGCCTCACCTCCTAAAGCAGTGGTGAACCTGTGGCACAAACCTATACTGTGTGCCACAGCAGGCACCCAGAACTCACTCTGCGTATGAACCAAGTCACCCTAGCAGCTGAGCATCAGGTGACAGTTGTTTTTCCTAAACTAAAACCTCAGCATTCAGGTTCGATTGCAGTGTTGGCATTTTTTGATAAATAAGTGGGTTTTGGGTTGCAGTTTGGGCATTCATCACTAAAAGGCTCCCCATCACTGACCTAAAGGTTCCACCACCTCTGTACAGAGCCACAGGCTGGTGACCAAGGCTTTTACACCTGGGCCTGTGAGGGAGTCTCCTGATCCAAACTACCTTGTTACCAAAACAATAGCAGTCCTCCTGGATTTGGTAAAGTAAACCCCTAGAAGTAAACCCCTTCTAGTGATATCTGCAGATTCTTTGTGTACTGTATTTATGTACTGGATACAAAATAGCATGCTTATTAGCTGTTTCTAAAGATATGTAGTTAGGCACTATTTCTTGATATCCCACCATTGGATGAAATTCTGCTCACTTTTATGCTTTTTATGTGGAATTTACACACACACACACACACACACACACACAGCAACTTGCCCTATATAATTATGTAAGTGGTTATATTGAATTTACTATTTATTATTTTGACTAGGTAAATGCAATTATGTACTCAGATATGATGGCTTGACTTTTCCTGCACATTTTGTCAACATTTGTCTGGTTTTAGCCAGGTGTAGTGGTGCCTGCCTGTAATTCTAGCACTCAGAAGGCTGAGACAGGAGGAGCACCATGAGCTTGAGGCCAGCCTAGGCTACACAGTGAGTTCAAGGCCAGCCTGAACTATATAGCGAGACCCTGTCTCAAACAAAACAAAACAAAAATTTTGTTTGTTTTCTTTGCGCAGTTTTCTCTGTATTTACAATGAATTCTATGATAATATCTAAATTCTACCCCAGGTTTGTAAGCTTTAAGGGCCAGAGTTCTATAGGCTTAGTGTGTCCATCAATAGTTTTCTTACCAAGTTTCATCTTCCTGAAGAGTTCTCTTCCTGAGCTTCTGTCTTCCTCTCATTTGGGCTGATGGCTCTTTAGTTCTGCAGGGTAGCTCTTGTGTTGGAGCTTTCCATCACCCCAAAGTTGGGATGCCTTTTCCTCTGCTTTTGACTTTAATTCCCTTTTTCCTGTTTTTACCTCTAGATTAATGGAAGGATAAGCTGTCATCTAGAAAATCATTCCAGAAAGTAAACCATTATCTTGATTTTCTTTTATAGCCTACTTTCCTTTAATATATTTTTTCAACAGTGTTCCTTACAAAGGACAGAGTAAGCAAAAAAAAATTTTTTTTGGTACCATGGATTGAACTCAGGACCTTGTGCTTGTGAGGCAGGTGGCAGCACCACTGAGCTAAATCCCCGGGCCCTCCTCTGTTAACATTTTTCCTTCCCGTTGAAAGTCTGTAAGAGCTTCCTTTTGAATTTAAAACTTTTTCCTTTTAAATAATGTCCCTTGGTGAGTCCATTTTTCTATGCACACAGTGGGTCATTGCATCTGGAAATACATGTTAATTTCTGGAAAATTTTTTTTTGCAGTTTCTTTTACTATTCCCTTTGCTCTATTTTTTCTGTTCCAATTCTCTAAAATGCCTGTTATTTGGATATTGGGCCTCCTGGGTGTATAGTCATGTACTACACTACGTTTTGGTCAGTGACAGATTGCATATATGACAGTGGTCCCATAAAATTTTGCTGATGCTGAAAAATTCCTTTGGTCCCATGATTTAGCCATCAAAACATTGTAGCACAATGCATTACTCATGTATGTGTAGTGATATTTCTAAACCCACTATATCGACAGACCTCTAAAAGTACAGCACATACAATTATGTAAAGTACATAATCATGTATAGGTGAAAATTCCTTATGATGAGTGTTATCATTATGTATATATAAAATGTAACAAATGTTTTGCCTCCAAAAAATTAGAGAAAAATAATAAATATAAAAATAAAAAAATAAACTACGCTGATAGTTTATGTACTTATTATGGTATGCTTTTGTGATTTCAGACTCTTATTTTAAACAAATCTTACTATAAAACAGTATGCTGCATTATGCCAACAACAGCCAAATACATTTCATGCTTACTATTTGAGGTGCAGGAAGCATCAGGAGGCCACATTGAGTTAATGACCTATTCTATCTAGGTTTGTGCAGGTACGCTCTATTCTATTTGCACAATGACAAAATCACCCAGTTTTCAGAATGCATGTCATTGAGCAGTGCATGACTGTGCTAGTTTTTTTTAATATGTGTATGTGGTACCGGGGATCCAACTTAGGACCTTATGCTTGTGAGGCAGATGCAGTGCCACTGAGCTAAATCCCTGGCCTGACTGTGCTAGTTTTTTAGGACCACCATGACAAAATACCACAGACTGGGAGGCTTAAACAACAGGACTTAGTTTCTTACACTTTTAGGGCTAGACATTCAAGACCAAGGCGTTGGCCAGTTTGGCTTCTCCTGAGGCCTGTTTTGCATGTGGCTGTCTTCTTACCTGGTCCTCACCTGGTCTGTGCTCTGTGCCCTCTCACCCCTAGTGTCTCTTTCTGTGTCCAAATGAGTTGGACTGTGTAGGGCTCACCGACCCCCCCATCTCCAGTATAGTCACATTCCGAAGTACTGGGATTTAGGGCTTCACCATGTGAATGGGGGGTGACACAGTTCAGTCCATAAACCTTAGACTTGTCTTATTTGATTCTCTTTCCATCTTTTGGTACTTTGGTTCTATTTTTTTGAGGCATTTCTTCAACTTTAATTTTCTAACTCTATTAACTGATACATTTTAAAGTACTAAATTCTTTTTGTTTTTATAATATTACTTAACTAAAAAGTATCCCCCCCCCTTTTTAAAGAGATGCAATATAGTCTTCACTCAATAAGAACATAGCACTTGGGTTCTTTCCCCTAATTTTTCTGCTTACATAACTTGTTTCCCACAAGTTGCTATTTTCCATTTATTTATGTGACTACTATAGTTGGAATGTGTCCCTAAATATTCATGTTTGGAAGCTTAATTCCCAATGCAAACATTTTGAGAGTTGGGCCCTTTTGGGAGGTGTTCAGGTCTAGAGGGCTTTGCCCTCACGAATGAATATATGCCACTATGAAAAGAGCTTACAGAAGTAAAACACAAAAAGAAGACCCTCTCACATGCTAGTGCCTTGGTCTTAGACTTCCTCACCACCAGAACTGTGAGAAGTAAACTTGTAAAATTATCTACTCTCCTGTATTGTCACAGCAGCAAGAAATAGACTAAAATAGTCACCATCTTTGATATTAATTGCTCTACTAATTGTTAGTAGAACATTTAAAAGCTGATGAGAAGCTCTGTACTCATGGATGAGTCTTGTCCATAAGCTTCACTGTAGAGCGCTAATGCTCAACTTTTGCTGTATATTAAAATCACTTGTGGCCAGGCATGGTGGTGCACACCTGTAATCCCAGTACTTGGGAGAACTGCCGTGACTTTGAGGCCAACCTGGGCTACCCAGTGAGTTCAGGACTAGCCTGGGCTACATAGTAAGAACCTGTCTCAAAAAAACCCAAATAAAATAAGATAAAATAAAATAAAATAATTTGGGAAACTTTAAAAATAAAAATGCTCTGGCCCTATGCCAGACCAACTAAATCAGCTTCTCTGGAAGCAGAGTCCAGGCAATGAAAAATTCAAAACTTCCCACATGATTTTAATGCACAGTGAAGGTTGATAATCATTAGTACAAAGTAACTTAGCTGGACCCAGTTGGAAGTCCCAGTGGGAACGCTTTTTGTTTTCTCTTACTCTTGCCAAATTCCCCAGAGAAGATTCTTTAAGTCTTTATACCTCCAGGTTATTAGCTTGGTTGGCCGGGTTCTGGGAACTTAACATAGCAGAGGCTGGGGTGGGGTGGGCAGTATAAGATGTCTTTATAGTGTTTCAGTAGCATATTAGGTGGAAGGTGACCTAAATGTGTATGTTCTATGTGCCATCTCAAATTGCAAATTACATAAACTTTACACGTCTTAAAAATACTTTATTATATTCTACCTTGTACATCTTTCTGTATTGCAGGAGAGTTGGTGAATGAAAAAAAATGACAATGGCTTAAAAAAGCAGATGGAATAGAAAGGAGTGAAGCACCATTCCTACTGGTAGAGGGGACATTAATTTTCTTAGGTGTTGTTTCTTAGAGAATGGCCCAACAAACACCCATTCTAGAATTACCTGGCACTTACTAAAATGTAGCCAGGCTTCTCCCTAGGTCCGAATTATAAAGTCTGCGGTTGAGACCTGGATCCTTTTAATAATTATGTCCCCTAGCTCTGCCTCTAGGCCTCAAGCACAAGCTCAGCTGAAAGACCCCTATAAAGCAGAACCTCAACTCTACATCCAGAGCCTTCAATTATGTTTTGCCTATTTCTGTCAAGAAACATTTATTTTTACTACTTGGAAGTCCAATTCTTCCATGGATTTGAAACTAAGCCTTTTCTTGCTTCCTATGATTGAGCTGCCCCACCTCCCAAAACCTTTACACTGGGAATCAAGTTTAAAAATATGAATCTTGGGGAACACATAGCTATGACATAAATAAATGGCAAACAGCAACTTGCAGGAAATAAGAGATCATATAGGCAGAAGAAAACTTATCAGAAAGAACCCAAGTACAATAAACTTTAGCTTATTTTCATCCATATCAAACATGTCTTTGTACCTTTTCTAGCAGGTCCGAGCTCCTGAGAACTCAGTCAAGAGCAGATGCTAGTGGTGCTATGCTCAGACACAAGGACAGCCTGACAGAGGTGCGTTGGTAGTCACAGTATCATCAATGACATGAATCCATCCATCATCTCTCAGTTACTTCTGCTCACCATAGCTGCACTGGGGATTAAATTTCCAATACACAAACTTTGGAGGACACATTCAAACTATAGCAAATGGCGCTGAGAAGTGGGACTTAACGAGAGGTAATGAGGCCAGGAGGGCCAAATTAGTGAGTTAGTGCTGCTATTGGGAGAGTGGGCTCATTATAAAAAGTTAAATCCAGCCCCCTTCTCTTCTCTTTGCCATGGGATGATGTAGCAAGAAGGCCCTCACTAGTTGCCAGCACTAGAGCTTGGACTTTCAGACTCCAGAAGCATAAATAATTTCTGTTCTTTATAAATTACCAGTCTCAGGTATTTTGTTACAGCAAAGCAAATGGACTAAAACAGTATGCAGTCTGTGTTTAATGACACCCTTATATTCTTTCCTCTTAATAAAATTTTGGTTGTTAATGTATGCAAAAAAGGTGGGAAATTTTTATTGATTAGTAAAGTGGATTTTCTAAAATATGCTGGGTTGAGAATAGTATGGGTAAAACTGAAGACATGAAAATAGAGAGCAGGAGCTCTGGCATGGCTGACTGATGATAGAGGCTAAACAAGTGCATTCATTTTAGGCAAGGGCAAGCCATTTTCCATCTAGAGAAATTGGAATAAAAATACTATAAAAAATATCATGGACACTTGTAATACTTCAATATGTTAAAAATTTCTTTCATATTAGTAGAGTCCAGGGAGGAAAGAAATGCCCCTGGAAAACAACTTCAGTGCTATATTATATTTAGGTCTTTACATAAGCTTCATTTATGTGCATCATCCAACCATCTAGCTAGTCTCTTATGTTTCTCTGAAATGTGCTGCCACATTTGAACTTATGACTCACTGAAATCCATTTTTAAAATTTCAATAATTAACCTCCTCATTCTTAGTCAATATAGTCTCCTCCTGGTGTATGCCCTTTTACTTTTTAGATGTTTCTATCAAGACAAAGACAAATTGAAAGACTATAAAAAGAATTACTTTGAACTGACTACTAGAACTGATGTGATAAAATTCAATTTCATTTTTACTCCATATATTTTCTGGGCTTTATTTTCACTTCTAATAAACATACACAGCTATTCATTAAACTTTTTCATTAGTCTATTTGATCTTTGGTATATGTAATGCTGGTTTTTGCATTGTTAAAGCATGTTTATCTACATTAGCATGCACATATGCTACTCCATTACCATTAAAAATGGTCAAACAGAGCAGTGCATGGTGGCGCATGACTGCAACTCAGGCAGCTGAGGCAAGATCACCACAAGTTTGAGGCCAGCCTGGGCTACCAA